CTCCTTCCTTCCTTCCTTCTTTCCTTTGTTCCTTCCTTCCTTCTTTTCTTCCTTCTTTTCTTTCTTCCTTCCTTCCTTCCTTCCTTCCCTTCCCTTCCTTCCTTCCTTCCTTCCTTCCTTCCCGTCCCTTCCTTTCCTTTCCTTTTCTTTCCTTTTCCTGTCCTTCCCTCCTACTAGTTGCTATTGTTTTTATACCATTTTTTTTTTGATCCGGATTTTTTTTTTGATCCGGAAATGTTTTTTCTTGATCCGGATTTTTTTTTTAACCCCTCCCCCCGTTTCAACGGGTGTCCGACACCAATTGGTTTGCAACACAAATTATACGGCATACAAATCGACACCACATGAACATGATGTACCGCAGCGTCCGCATACAGCTATAGGCGTTTACACATTATAATTATAATGTTGATACATGTCAATGCATTGTTAATGCTATGTGCTTGCATGAAATCTTGCATGCGCATATCGACACGCATGAATTGCCTTAATGAGTGGCCATAAGTGTCAAAGGACGGAAAAAATGCTAAGCCAAGCATAGATGCAATTAAGCACGCTTGGCCCAGTCGAAGGATGCAGCCTGCACGGAGGACTCGCCGGTGTAGCCGAGCTTCTCCTTCCATCCAGGGTAGATCTGGTCCGCATCCTTCTGGAAGGTCAGGAAAGCACCCTTGATCTCCTCGTGGGTCTTGGCATACTCAATCACACCATCGCTCAAGCTGATGTTGCCGAACTGGCCGGCCTTCCACTGCTTCCAGGCCTCCTCACCCTGACGGCAAGAGATGGCACCAATCTTGGGGCCGTCCTTGTGACCGAAAGAGCCACCGCCAGCAGTCAGGATCACGTTGGAGTGTCCCAGGTTCTCGAAGAAGGCTGGCAGGCGCAGGGCGTTCATGCCACCAGAGATGATGGGAGTGGTCTCCTTCATGCCCTGCCACTCCTGTCGGTAGTAAGGACCATCGGCCTCATCATCCTGCAGCATGCAGGCAATGTTCTTGTCGGAGGCATCACCCTCCATCTTGCCGAAGCTCATGGTGCCCACGTGGATGCCAGAAGCACCGATGACTCGGGAGATCTTGGTGTGCACAAAGGCAGTGTAACCACGCTGGGTCTGGGGGCTGGTCACTGAACCGTGGCCGGCTCGGTGGTAGTGCAAGAACTGCTTGGGGAAGTTGCGCCTGCAGCAGGTCACTGCAGTTCCACCTGCAACATAGCCATCCACCAAGAATGCGCAGTTCTCGGACAAAGGACCGAACTGAGACATGATGTACTTGCCGCGGGCAATCATCTCCTCAGGATCATCTGCAGTGATGTTGGCGGAGAAGAGCTTGGAGCTGCCTGTCTCCTTGACGCAAGCCCTCATGGCCTTCACCACCTCAGGAATGCACTCGTTCATCTGGCAAAACACTTGGTTGCCCTGGGGTTCGTCGTTCTTGATGAAGTCACCTCCCTGCCAGAAGGAGTAGCACGCCTCACCGAAAGGCTTGGGCTGCAGACCCAGCTTTGGCTTGATGATGGTGCCAACCACCAAACCACCGTTGGTGGTGCCACGGCCCAGGATGCGCCACATGTCCTCCACGTTCACGGAGGGGCCATCATACAGCCTGAGGAATGCGGGTGGCAGGTAGAAGTCGTAGATTTTTCCGTACTCGACATCGCCCATGCCTTGCTGTCACAGCAAGCCACCAAAAAGTGAATCAGTGGTTTGATTATGTTACTACGTCTTCTGCTTCGAAGACAGGGTGCAGTGGGGTCCCCATCCTCCAACATAATATATAGGATTGCCATTTTCCATCACACTTCCGTCACGTTCTTACTTCCCCGGAATCCATAAATAGCTTGGGTTCGCTTTGGCCGCACTTTCACGTGGGGAGATGACTAGTACAACAATTGCTTTTGCAAGGTTTTCTCTCGGCTTTCCCCCATGTGAGCTTTCGTTTTCATGAGGCATACCCAGATGATGCACATTCTTTGTATGACGGTCTTTTGTGTGGCTCATGCAGTCCCTTTGGTATGGTTTCATGCAAGTTCAATGAATCTCATGAATCACAAAGAAGAACAAAGAAGAACAACAAATCCTGAGAACAACAAAGAAGGCACAAGTAAAAGCAAGCCAAGAGGAGACGAGTTACCTTGGTTGTTTCCAATGGCCAGAGTCAGGAAAGAGCACATCATGCCACGGCCGTCGGTGATGTTGCGATCGAACAGCAGGGTTGGGTAGGCGATCTTCATCTCCTCATTGTCAGGGTCGATGTAGTACACCAGGGCATCCACGGACTTGGTGAAGTCATCTGTGGTGCACACGTTCACGTTGGTACCAGTGGAGGACTCCGCAGCGAAGTGGGCAGCGGTGGCCAAGTAGTCATATCCCGCCTTGGGCTTCATGATGTAGGCAACCAGCACGTGCTTGCCGTTCCTGCAAAGTGTTGACTGAGACAAAAACCAAACAAGAGTACAAGTAAGACCAAATATGACCAAATAAAAAGCACACCTGATCAAAAATCTAGAACCTCGCACAAACCAATCAGAGTCCTGTGGAAATGACATCCATGTTTTTTTCTACTGAATGTATAGGTGCGTTGCGTAAGTCCAGCCATGCACATACATCACATACTTGAATACTACATCTAGTCAGCATCAAGTAGAAGTTGAAAAATTGCTACAAGGCTCCGGTAGTTTATTCAGAAATGCTCAAACTTCCCCTGAAACAGGCCTGATCAAGGTGTCTTCATCCAGGGAAAGGTCAGCATATCGGCTGGACTGATCCAAAGCCTGGCGGGCAACAACGTTCTCCTTCTTCGCAGGGGCGACGCTGGCACCCACGAAGGCAGCAGCAGAAGCACGCTTGGCCCAGTCGAAGGATGCAGCCTGCACGGAGGACTCGCCGGTGTAGCCGAGCTTCTCCTTCCATCCAGGGTAGATCTGGTCCGCATCCTTCTGGAAGGTCAGGAAAGCACCCTTGATCTCCTCGTGGGTCTTGGCATACTCAATCACACCATCGCTCAAGCTGATGTTGCCGAACTGGCCGGCCTTCCACTGCTTCCAGGCCTCCTCACCCTGACGGCAAGAGATGGCACCGATCTTGGGGCCGTCCTTGTGACCGAAAGAGCCACCGCCGGCAGTCAGGATCACGTTGGAGTGTCCCAGGTTCTCGAAGAAGGCTGGCAAGCGCAGGGCGTTCATGCCACCAGAGATGATGGGAGTGGTCTCCTTCATGCCCTGCCACTCCTGTCGGTAGTAAGGACCATCGGCCTCGTCATCCTGCAGCATGTAAGCAATGTTCTTGTCGGAGGCATCACCCTCCATCTTGCCAAAGCTCATGGTGCCCACGTGGATGCCAGAAGCACCGATGAGTCGGGAGATCTTGGTGTGCACAAAGGCAGTGTAACCACGCTGGGTCTGGGGGCTGGTCACTGAACCGTGGCCGGCTCGGTGGTAGTGCAAGAACTGCTTGGGGAAGTTGCGCCTGCAGCAGGTCACTGCAGTTCCACCTGCAACATAGCCATCAACCAAGAATGCGCAGTTCTCGGACAAAGGACCGAACTGAGACATGATGTACTTGCCGCGGGCAATCATCTCCTCAGGATCATCGGCAGTGATGTTGGCGGAGAAGAGCTTGGAGCTGCCTGTCTCCTTGACGCAAGCCCTCATGGCCTTCACCACTTCAGGAATGCACTCGTTCATCTGGCAGAACACCTGGTTGCCTTGGGGCTCGTCGTTCTTGATGAAGTCACCTCCCTGCCAGAAGGAGTAGCACGCCTCACCGAAAGGCTTGGGCTGCAGACCCAGCTTTGGCTTGATGATAGTGCCAACCACCAAACCACCGTTGGTGGTGCCACGGCCCAGGATGCGCCACATGTCCTCCACGTTCACGGAGGGGCCATCATACAGCCTGAGGAATGCGGGTGGCAGGTAGAAGTCGTAGATTTTTCCGTACTCGACATCGCCCATGCCTTGCTGTCACAGCAAAGCCACCAAAAAGTGAATCAGTGGTTTGATTATGTTACTACGTCTTCTGCTTCGAAGACAGGGCGCAGTGCGGTCCCCATCCTCCAACATAATATATAGGATTGCCATTTTCCATCACACTTCCGTCACGTTCTTACTTCCCCGGAATCCATAAAGCTTGGGTTCGCTTTGGCCGCACTTTCACGTGGGGAGATGACTAGTACAACAATTGCTTTTGCAAGGTTTTCTCTCGGCTTCCCCCCATGTGAGCTTTCGTTTTCATGAGGCATACCCAGATGATGCACATTCTTTGTATGACGGTCTTTTGTGTGGCTCATGCAGTCCCTTTGGTATGGTTTCATGCAAGTTCAGTGAATCTCATGAATCACAAAGAAGAACAAAGAAGAACAAAAAATCCTGAGAACAACAAAGAAGGCACAAGTAAAAGCAAGCCAAGAGGAGACGAGTTACCTTGGTTGTTTCCAATGGCCAGAGTCAGGAAAGAGCACATCATGCCACGGCCGTCGGTGATGTTGCGGTCGAACAGGAGAGTTGGGTAGGCGATCTTCATCTCCTCATTGTCAGGATCGATGTAGTACACCAGGGCATCCACGGACTTGGTGAAGTCATCTGTGGTGCACACGTTCACGTTGGTACCAGTGGAGGACTCCGCAGCGAAGTGGGCAGCGGTGGCCAAGTAGTCATATCCCGCCTTGGGCTTCATGATGTAGGCAACCAGCACGTGCTTGCCGTTCCTGCAAAGTGTTGACTGAGACAAAAACCAAACAAGAGTACAAGTAAGACCAAATATGACCAAATAAAAAGCACACCTGATCAAAAATCTAGAACCTCGCACAAACCAATCAGAGTCCTGTGGAAATGACATCCATGTTTTTTTCTACTGAATGTATAGGTGCGTTGCGTAAGTCCAGCCATGCACATACATCACATACTTGAATACTACATCTAGTCAGCATCAAGTAGAAGTTGAAAAATTGCTACAAGGCTCCGGTAGTTTATTCAGAAATGCTCAAACTTCCCCTGAAACAGGC